CATATACAGACCAAAACAAACACAACCCAACCGGAGGAATAAAATAGAGCCTAGGTAATAGGTAGTTTAGGGTTTATCTAGGTAAAAGGATTAAGTTCCAGATTTTAGGGGAGTGAAATATCAGTTTGAAACGGACTAACAAATCCAAATATCCACCTGGTATGCAGAAACACTCTAATTTTGCTTTTTATCTAATAAAATAGGATATTTGAAACTTGTGAGTCTGCTTTTAGGCTACGCTTGAGATGAGAAAATCGAGGAGACGACCGTTTAGGAAATTAACAAATAAATACATCTCCCAATCCTCTCTTCTGAAATGGCCAGAATGATGATTCCACAATTCAATAGCAAAGCAATTAGTTATTCCTGAGATGTATTCACCCTACTTCGTTTGGGGCTGGTAGTCAAATTTTCCCACAATGCTATGAGTAGGTCTTACGTTTCCATTGATTTTCACATAGCCACGCATTTCCAAAAGGTATTCTCATCCAGGCTGGACTGCATTTACCCCCTCACCTAGGTCTCGTCAGCATCCACAGCAGGACTAACCATGACAATGCAGTGTATACTCTCGATCTTCCTTGAAATTCACGTCTACCCTGTGACCCATGGGCACTCGTGGCAGTGTAGCGTAGTTGTGAACATGTTGAGATTATGCGCTGAACTATTATGGCTAAAGTCCCGTTGGGAGTGCTCATAAGATCAGTTCAGACGAGGTCGACACCACAGTTCACTTAACTCTGAATGGGAATACCTTTTAGAAAGCAAGACTATGCAACATCCAATCAAAACGTATGGTCTACTCATTTGACTGTTGGAAAATGCAACTACCAGTCTCGTTATCACCTTAAACAAAATAGAGTGAATATACCTCATATATATAATCTGCTGGTAGTCTCGAAAACATGCTTATAAACGAAAAAATGTTATTCTTAAAATTAATTATTGTATTAAAAAATTTTATTCCAGAGTTATCTTGTTGCCCAAGCTCAAAACTCCTGGCTCAGTCTGATGGCCGAGGCCTAATGTCATCCTCATCCAGTAATTGCTACACTTCTTTGCTGGCATCCAAAGACAGCTCGATCAACCAACCCTCGCCAAGTGCTGTGGAGTCGGCTAAACTTTCACCAGTTCGCCTTTACTGCAAGCGTCCCGGCGATCAAATACTAGCCTCCCAGATATCTTTACAATTTCCTAAAGGACTTGACTATACATCCGAGAAGTCATCGTTTTCGTTTGTGCGTGACTCTGCACCACTCACTTTCCATTCTCAACACGAGTTGAATGTACTCACCACCACTGTGACGACAATGGTGGACCCGGGAGTCACTGAAAAACGAATTCCAGAAACGCCAGTCAAGCTCTCAGCTACACGTGAACTTCAAGAAGAAACCGGAGAAAACTCCCACAAGTTATATGTTCTCGGCTCATCGAAAGAAAACGTAAGGACCTCGAAATATGACTCGCCATCAGACCTCGCGTTTTCCCGCAAGCCCGATGACGAACTGATAGAGGAACCCGAATTTATCCTTTAGCCTCGGCAAATCCAAACCCATTTCTATTGACTACTTCCAGCCTAGTCTACCATATCGTTCAAGCACCTCAAAGCTTGACGGAGTCCAGAGTACAGCATGAACTTGAGCACTATCTGGAGAGCCCGTTTAATTGTGATTTCTGCGTTGCGATTAGCATCCAGCCAATTATCGAGACTTGGCAACCGATCAATCCAGTAAAAGCACCATGACCACCTAGCTCTGTTGTAGATTACGAGCAATTTCTTCAATCATCGATTCTCATCTCAAATGTGGTCCTGACAGAAAAGCATTTCATGTCATGTTGGCAGCCCACACCGAATAAGGATCAATTTAATCTCTTTTCGAACATTGATCCTTCCTTAGCTTTCGATCCAACTAACCTCACTTTCAGATCAGTACCAAGTCTACCCTCAAATAATGGAGAATGACCTTGCCTTACTAGCAGTTAGTGGCTGTCGTGATTTCTCTGTTAGCCCATTCCTGTCAGTTTCGTCAAAACCTTTCTTTCTGTACATTTACCAATCCAGATATTTATCAAACCAAAAACACGTGCCGAGATTCGTCGTAGCACTTCGAATCCGACGCTTTCGGAGGACTCGTCTTTTTCAAATCTTCTAACCACTGGCCGCTAGGCCTTACCTGCCAAGCTCCAAAACCCACTGCTAGTTTATTAAATTAATATATACTAAGCTTCATGGTTTGCCCGGTGTACTTCTAAACCTAGAAAACAGTAGTTCAGATTATCTGTTTGTCCCTTATTTGTACATAACTACAGAAAATAATAGCAGTCCCCCCAGCGAATTATTAAACAAGTGACTTTCCACAAACGAGTATGTGTGTACCCGATTCTTTTTACAAATACTTCTTGTCTAGACGCCTCATTTAAATAAAGGTGCGAATAAGTACATTCGTTGATTGCATTTATAGGTGGTTTCAGCATGCGAAGACCAAAGCCATGACCCCCATTATTCCATAGCAGCGGGATTTTAGCGGACTAATGGCTAGCGCAGAAGTCGTCACCAGAAACAAGAACTTTTATGTGAAACGAAGCACATAAATGCAAAAAGGATTAATGTGAAGAATCCACACCAATTTATAGCATTGCAATAGAACGGCGGGCTAAATTATGGTAGACGAATTATCTAACTTCAAATGTACTACCAAGTCCAGGTAAAATCGTATATAACAGTATCCAGCAAAGTATATATCATAGAACTTTCAAGCTAACTTGAACAACCCATAAGTATAGCTAAGAAGAATACCATTAGGAACAATAAAATAATTAAGACTCGTGTGCTAGCCCACAAATCTTTCTTAATAGTCTCCTTTTGAGTATTCCGTTGGAGCGATTTACCCCAATAACCAGGAAAGGTAGTCGTTTATCCTCCCTCACTTCCATTATGAATTTAATTCTTCCATAAGTTTGGTTTATAAAATTGAGGAATTCATTCCTATTTATCTTACCATGCGACAAAAGTGCAAAGTAGTCGTCCAGGTATCGCATTTGCACTCTTGGTTGCAACGGTGACCTATATAATTCATTCTCCAATCTGTCAGTGTATACATTTGCCATATGAGGTGAAAGTGGAGAGGTCATTCGTCCAAAGAAATATTCAAAAGGAGAATATTAAGAAATGCGAGAATAATCCTCAATTTCCAGTCTCATCACAACTACAGACTGAAGGTCGGAATAATAAGAAAGCCTAAGACTAACGGACAAGGAAAGAGGAGTTGGAGAAACTGACTCGGATTTGCTTTAGTAACGGGTACCACAGAGAATTAATAGAAAGGAGTATATGGGCCATAAAGAGAAGATTTCAACTAGAATTTTATGAAAACAAAATCATAAATCGAGACAACGAAAGTGGATATGCCTGTCTTTCTGTGAATTGAGCCATAAATTGTGACCGTTACTAAGACAAAAGGGTTGGCTGCATACGGTGGAAATACAAAACGAAAAATACGAGAAGCCATAGATATTCTGACTAAAAGAAACCCAATGAACAGGAATCGTGAAAAAGGTAGGATTAGCGAAAACTCTGCATGCTGCCTAAAAAAACTCGATGATCAGCGAACAGGAATATCAGCAAAAAGAGGACAAATGGACAAAGGTGACACTTTTAATTTTAGAGAAAGAAATTACAAGGATACTATGGAGGAAACTAAGAGAAAATGTCTACAGTGGGACTATGCAAATCAAGTAGAACCATCACATTTGGGGGTTGACACGCAATAGAATGTCATAGAAGTGAGAGAAACGGTAGTAGCCATTTCCAGTTGGCTATTAGTAGATAAGTTTGCTCATAGACGTGGTCCTTGAGGTAAAGGCTTGACCACGAGATTTACTCGATGCACATACCGCACAATGATAAGGTAATCTGCAACGTCAAGTTAGGTTGCCATGCCAATTATGAATCCAAACTTTAGAGGCTTGCATTCTGCGGCTGGTGTATACGTGCTATGAAAGACTTGAGGCAGAGGGCAGAACAACGCCTTGAGTAGCACGGATGCGTCAGTGATGGCGTGACATGACTGAAACTGACATATAAGATCCTAAGGAGGAAGAGGGGACTATGATAGGACCTAGAGAGTGAGGATTGTGGATTAAACCGCAGCCTTCGATCAACACCCGGCATAGTGGGAGGAATAAGAAAACCAGCGGGGAGTATGAATAGATTTCAAATAGGTCTAGATAAACAAGTAAGAAGTTGTGATATTAATGTATGATACGAGGACATAGGATAGGAGAATAGCCCAGGACAGGAGAGATACCGCAACTGTTTAGCACTCATTTGGTCAAAGAATCTACTTCACTTATCTCTTTGACGAAGTGTAGTGTGATGCTAAGAATGGCAAGGCTTACTGACGGTGCCGTCGAAACGTCTGGGAATGTACCAAGTCCACGGTCCCACTCTGGAAATTATCATGCTATGGACTACTCCGGATAAGTGCGTTCCTCTAAGTCTTCCTGCCAAGATGACCAAGTCTTCATATCTTTTGTCAGTGTAGTTTGAG